GGAGTCGGAGTCGTCGCCGCCGCCGCCGCCGCCGCCGTCGTCGTCGTCGCCGCCGCCGCTGTTGTCGTCGTCGTCGTCGTCGTCGTCGTCGTCGTCGTCGTCGCCTCCACCGTCGTCGCCGCCGCCACCGCTACTGTCGTCGTCGTCGTCGTCGTCGTCGTAGTAGTCGGAGTCGGAGCCGTCGCCGCCGCCGCCGCCGCCGTCGTCGTCGTCGCCGCCGCCGCCGTTGTCGTCGTCGTCGTCGTCGTCGTCGTCGTCGTCGTCGACGTGCGGTCATTGCTTTTGTCACTTTCGGACCCCAGAGGCCCGTCGCGGGCACTGGGGCTGTCAAACCTTGGCCGGGGATGAAGAACAGACTGAGGTTGACCCGTGGAGGGTTTCGGGTACCGATCGTGAGTTACCTTCGGCGGCCCTCGGCGGCCCTCGTCGTCGCCGTCGTCATCGCCGTCGCCGTCGCCGTCGCCGTCGCCGTCGCCGTCGCCGCCGTCGCCGCCGCCGCCGCCGTCGTCTTCGTCGTCGTCGTCGTCGTCGTCGTCGTGGTCGTCGTCGTCGTCGTCGTTGTCGTCGTCATCGTCGTTGCGTCGTCGTCCATCCTTCTCCCTCCTCGTACGCTGAGTCTCGCGCTATACAAGAAAACTGGGAGGTCTGCGCGGATTTCTCGGAACAGCGCTGGACCCCCCTACCTGGCGCGTGGAGCGCGGGAGGGGCGGCGCCAGAGCGGCGCCAAGGGCGGCGCCAGGGTTCAGCGCCGATCCCAAGAATCCGCGCCGACCTCCAAGTTTTTATGTTTATTTCATTGCTTTTTCCTTTACTGTCGAGGGCTTTAGCTCCATCTCGGGATGGCTTGCCATTGTTTGGTGTAGCGTCTAGCTCGGCCACTCAGGATTGGCCAACAGGTTCCAACTCATTCCTTTTGCTGCTGTGTCTCCCGCTCCTCCTGCTCCTCCTTCTCTCCTTCCGTCCCCCTCCTGCACTCCTCCCTATTCCCCTTCTCTCCTCCCTGTGGCCATGGTCCAGTGTAGCCGAATCGGCGTCGGTCACGCCTTGGGTCGATCCTAAGGGTCAGTTGCTGGCTGACTCGTCTGTGCCCAATCCTAGTCTGCACCTCTGCGAAGCTGGAGTCAGGCTCTCAATGCTGAGGTCTGGAGGCCTCTTTTCGTGGACGGGTCTTGTCCCGTGCTGCCAGCAGCGTGCACATGGTCGACGGTAGTAGCGACAACGTCGCTGAATTCAGAGCCCCTGCTTGGGCTCCTCACGCTCAGACCCCTCAGTCTGCCGCGTTCAGCCGTCTCACGTGAGCTGATGTGTTGGATTCGGCTCAGATCGAAGTTTATTCCGATTGCAGTGATGGTGCTAACCTTGCCTGCAGACCGCATCCTGAGCAACGACCATGTAAGCGGGCGTACGCATGCGCTTTCGTGCTGATCCGTGCGCAAGGTGTCACTCCTGCTCGGTCAAGGTCGCCGCCTATCGAGTAATCGACGAGGCTGGGATCGATCACGCTCATTGCTATTGTGATTATGGGTTTTGTATATGAATATTCGGATGATGATGGCTGATGGTGACGATGCTGATACTGATGATGATGATGATGATGATGATGATGATGATGATGATGATGATGATGATGCTGATGATGATGATGATGATGCTGATGATGATGATGATGACGATGGTGATGGATGGGCTTGGTAATGACGATGCTGACTGCAGCGGCGGCGACGACCCACGACCAACAACGACAGCGACAACTGACGACCGTGGACCGACGACGACCGACAACGACCGACGACCGACGATGACGATGACGCGGTGGCGGCGCATGGCGAGCGCGAGCGCGCGGAACGGGCAGCGACCCCCAGCGCCGCGCTCGCCGCGGGGGTTCGCACTGGCATCGTGGAGCCGCTGGACTGGTGGAAGGAGCGCCGCCCATGCGGGGCAGGATGAAGGGAGGATGAGGGAGGGGGTAGGAGGCGGGAGGAGGGGATGAGGAGCGAGGGAGGGAGGAGGGAGGGAGGGAGGAGGAGGGAGGGGGAGGAGGGAGGAGGAGGGAGGGGGGAGGCGGGAGGAGGAGGAGGAGGGAGGAGGAAGAGAGGGGGTATGACAAGCTAGGTGCGCTCGCGTCATAAGACGTCCTACCCTCCCCTCCATCCCTTACCATGGGCGGCTGATTTTCTCTATCCGCGGACGCGTGTCGTAGCGGACCTGTGGCTCCGCGTGCGCGTGCGTAGTGGGTGGTGGTGCACGTGCGTGTGTGCGTGCGTGTCGTGCAGTGGGGGTCGTGTGGTGGTGGTGGGGTGGTGGTGGTGGTGGTATGTGGTGGTGGTGGGGTGATGGTGGTGGTGGTGGTGCTGGTGGTGGTGGTGGTGGTGCTGGTGGTGAGTGGTGTTGGTAGGTGATGGTGCTGGTGGTGGTTGTGGTGGTGGTGGTGGTGGTGGGGGCGGTGCGGCGCGGTGGTGGCGGGCGGATGGGCGCGCGAGAAAAAGGCCCGCGCTGGGGCGAGAACGCCATCTTGAACGACGGAGGCCAAACACCGATCCGAAAATGAGGCCCACGCTGCAGCGGGAGCACGATTCGGAACGATTCGGGAGCAGAAATAAGGCCGGCGCCTCAACGAGAGCAGCATTTTGGGAAAAAATGACGCCGGCGCCTCAGCGAGAGTCGTTTCCCGGGATTTCCCGGGCATCCTGTGTGTAAAAAAACAGTACGCGGAGGATGCGCGGCTATCACCCGGACGCCATCAGGGGAAGGATTCGGGAGCAGAAATGAGGCCGGCGCCTCAACGAGAGCAGCATTTTGGGAAAAAATGACGCCGGCGCGAGAGCAGCATTTTGGGAAAAAAATGACGCCGGCGCCTCAGCGAGAGTCGTTTCCCGGGATTTTCCGGGCATCCTGTGTGTAAAAAAACAGTACGCGGAGGGTGCGCGGCTATCACCCGGACGCCATCAGGGGAAGAGGGAGAGTATATTCATATTGAGTAATTGTAGACGAGCTGATGAAGGGGATGGGAGGTCTGGGAGGGATGGGGAGGGAGTTCTGCCGCTTTCTCTTGACTTTCGTTGGTCTGCGAGTGTCGACAGGCTTTGGTTTGCAGCTCAGAGCGTGCGAAAAGAGTGGAAGGAGCAAGGACACAGCGGAGCCTGGAGGCTCTCGGCGCCACGGTCGGACGCAGCTCGAATGGTGGAAGGAGCGCTTTTGTGATTGCGAGGGCCGTCGCCAAACTCGTGCGACGTCGTGTGGAAAGAACTGCCCTAACCAGGGTTGGCTGAGGAGGAGGAGGATGAGGAGGAGGAGGAGGAAGAGGAGGAGGAGGAAGAAGAGGAGGAGGAGGAGGGCTCGCCTGGAGGCTTGGCTGAGCTTGGCTGGGCTTGGCCAAGCTGTTGGCCGGAGGGTTGGCCGGGGTGGTTCTTCGACGCGCAGTTCTTCCCATGAAGACGAGCAGGTCCTCGGGCGAGTTCTAGAGGCTTCTGACGCCGCGGCTAGCGGGGATGGACAGAACTCCCACCCTGACACGCCGATGCGTGAATGTTCCGTTTTCGGTTCTCGAGGGGGCGCCGCGGCCGTCCTTTTCCAGGCTTGCGCCCGCCAGGTCTGGGCCCGAGGTCGTCGTCACTGAACCGCGCCTTGCTGGAGGGGGTTCTGCCTATCCCCGAGGCTGGATAGGGCGACGAGATCTATGCATATCCACTGCTCCTGGCCAGGCCCATCCTGGGCCCAGGAGCGGTGTATATGCCTCCCTGGCCAAGCCAGGAGGGCGTATACACAGCTCTTGGGCCCAGGATTGGCCTGGCCGGGAGCAGTGGATATGCATAGATCTCGTCGCCCTACTGGACGCAGCCGGACGGGTGCGGCCAAGGCGATGCGAGGGGTCGGGCCCCTTTTTTTGCAGACGCCTGCGGCCTCCTCTCGGGGGGCCCCTCCCGGGGCCCCCGTGCTCCCCGGGCATCGGCGCCAGGGATGCAGGAGCTGCTCGGGACAGACCCCCAGGGGGGGGTCGGGGAGGGCGTCGTCGTCGTCGGCGTCGTCGTCGTCGTCGTCGTCGTCGGCGATGTCGGCGTCGTCGTCGTCGTCGTCGTCGTCGTCGTCGTCGTCGTCGTCGTCGTCGTCGTCGTCGTCGGCGTCGGCGTCGTCGTCGTCGTCGTCGTCGTCGTCGTCGTCGTCGTCTGGTCGGAGGGCGTCGTCATCGTGGCAGGTGTTTCGGAGGGCGTCGTCGCCGTCGTTTTCGATAGTCCTGGGCGGATTCGTGAGGCCCTCGTCGCAAGCTCGACGGATCGGCTTTGAGCCGATTCCTTTTTGCGCCCTTCTTCTCCTTCGGCTTCCCCATTCGCTTTCATTTTTATCCTCGGCGCGACCTGTTTCGTCCTTAGGACCACGTGTTGCCTCCATCTCATCCTCGCCTCGACGATTGTATTCGCCGTGTCTTTTTGTGCGGCGGCGCGCCGAGAGGGGAAGGCGGAGGGAGCGGGCCTCCAAGAAGGCTCAGAAGACCTTCTGGCCTTCCGCGAAGCTTTCCGAGCCTTCTCCGAAGCCCCAGTGGGATGCCTATGAGGTTGACACCAACACCAACATCGGCGGTGTGCCTCCACCGAGTGAACGTGATCCCGATCTCGGTGATGGTGGTAATATTCGGGCTTCCCAGGTGGCCAAACGATTACCATCAACACCGAAATCGAGGATCGTCTTCCCCTCGTGCAGGCGAACCCCCTGTGTTGGTGTTGGTGCCCATTCCGAAGCCTCCATCCCAGCGGCGCGCCGCCCTGGCGAAAGCCTGCCCCGCCTTTCCCGGGCGCGCCGCCGACGTTGGCCGTCCTTCCGTCACCACCAACCAGACCACCCCAACCCAACCCGAAGGCCTCAATCTGCCCTCCATTTCCAGCGTGGGGGGGGAACACTGACAAAAACACATACAACAAACCCGCCCCCCCCCCAAACCCGGAGGTCGGGTCAGATTCGGGTCTTCGGGTCGAGCTGGGGTGGTCTGCTCTTCGACCTCTCCGTGCCAGCCCTCGCCCTCGGAGGGGGGGGGCCCGCGGCGCTCGGGGCAGGGGGGCGCTCAGGAGGAGCCCCGAGGCGGGGAGGAAGCGTCGAGCATCGGTCGGCCACGCACGCGCAGAAGGGGGGGGCAGGGAGGGGGGGGGGGCAGGGGGAGGGGGGCAGGGGGGGGGAATGGGAGGGGGGGGGGGCGCAGGGAGGGGGAGGGGGGCTAGGCCGTCCTTTCAGGTTCTGCTCCTCGGCCTCTCCGCGCCCGCCTCCCCGGCGGGGTTGGCGCCTCGCTCGCCGCGGGCCGCCGGGGCGCGGCCCTCTGGCCGCGCGGCCGCGCGCGACCTGGGCGGGCGCGCCCACCCGGGGTGGGCCCTGGCATCCTCCTCCTCCCCTCCTCCTCCTTCCTCCTCCTACGGCCCTCCTCCTCCTCCACTCTCCTCATCCTCCACTCCTCAATCATCCATCCTCCCTCCTCTCCTACCCTCCTCCTCCTCCTCCTCCTCCTCCTCCTCCTCCTCCTCCTCCTCCTCCTCCAGTGGAGACCCCTGATTGCCTCCAGGGTTATGATGCTCCAGCCAACTTTAGCCTTGATCACCAGCAAGAATTTCGAACACCAAACTAGTACCGAAGCTCGATGGTTTTTACGTGTCGGGCCCTGGGAGACACTCGTCCGACATTGTTTCGACACTGTTTCGACACTTTTCCGGGTGCTCGGAATTATTTCTGGGATGTGGCCCTTAAGTGCGATGAGGGCAACACAACTCCAGGGTGCCCTGGGTTTCTCGGGTTCCGATGTTTTTTTGCCCTTGAAGGCGCGACCATCCCACGCCCGAAAATCAACGGACGTCCTGGGGTTCCAGGATTGGGTTTCTTGTGGGAGGTCTCTGGTGGTCGGGCCCCTGCTGTACCACTCGGGCGGCGAGCCCAGGGGGGAAGTGAGAAGGGGCAGGCCTTCTCAGAGGGCGGCGGGACTCCTCAGAAGCTCTCGCGCCTGCTGAGAAGTGTTCGGTGTGTCCTCGGGGAAGGCTTCGGGAGCTTCTCGGACGGCCGGGGGGCGTCCGAGCCTTCTGAGAAGGCCCGCCACTTCGCACTTCCCCCCCGGGCTCGCCCCGCCAGACCAGTTCCCTTCTTGTTCCGCCTCCTCGTCGCCCTCCCCCCCCCCCTCTGCCGTCCTCACATCTTCTTCCTTCAGCTCCTCCCCCTCCTCGTCTCGCTTCACTTTCCCTCCCATGCGATCCCCCCCCCCTCCTCCCGCGCTTCCTCTGCTCTTCTCCCGCTCTTTCTCACTCTCTCCCTCCCCCTCCCCCTGCCCTCCCCCCCTCTCCATCTCCCCCGACCCTCGTTCTCCCCGTCCTGCTCCTCCTCCTCCTCCTCCTCCTCCTCCTGGGCCTCCTTCCTCTCTCCTCCCCCCGTGGGCCGCCACCCCGGCCCCGAGACGCTGTCCGCGCACAAGTTCATGATGGCCCCCGCAGGCTGCGCGGTGCCGGATGCAGGGGCGAGGGCCGGAGCGGGGGCGAGGGTCATCGAGGAGTGTAAAACGACGCGAAGATCGGGACAACATCGGATCGGGATAATTCGAAATCTCTTAGAACTGGCGGGTTTGGAGGATGTATTGGGCGCCGCCGCCGCTCCAGAGCGTTCCGGAACGCTCTGAGAGCGCTTAGGAACGCTCTGGAGCGATTTATCCCGATCCTAGCCCTGTTTTAGAGTGGTGGCGAAGAGGTGCGCAGGAGCGACGCAGGACAACGGGGTCGTCTGCGCCGACATGGCGCGCAAGCGCCCTCGTCTCCAGTGTGGCGTGGCGCGCCGGCGGCCCGCGTAAGCCACCGCGTGAGGTCGCCGTGCCATCTCGCGTACGACCCGCTGTGGATCCTCGCTCATATGAGGAAGATGAAGGTGGGCAGCAAGTGGAGGAGGAGGAGGCGGAGGAGGAGGAGGAGGAGGTTACAACAACAACAGCAACTACTACTACTACTACTACTACTACTACTACTACTACTACTACTACTACCACCACTACTACTACTACTACTACTACTACTACTACCACTAAACCACTACTACCACTACTACTACTACTACTACTACTACTACTACTACTACTACTACTACTACTACTACCACTACTACCACTACTACCACTACTACCACTACTACCACTACTACCACTACTACCATTACTACCACTACTAACACTACCACGACTACCACTACCACTACCACTACTACTACTACTACTACTACTACTACTACTACTACTACTACTACTACTACTACTACTACTACTACTACTACTACTACTACTACCAATACTCGTTATCAGAAACAGAAGCAGACGAAGCATAACCATGAACAAACACGTACGAATACGCGTACTCATACTACAAAGAAAACGAATTAGAAAAGCACGAACCGCAACACTAATATTAACATTGGTGCTACTACTAACAATACTATTTGTATTAACAGTATTATGACTGGTGCGAACACTATCACTTGAGTGCTATTTGAAACGAAGAATAAGAACACGACGATGAGGGATACTAGCCGTAAGACTATACATGCTAAACCTATTACGCACAAACGTACATAATAATAACATGCATACAATACGACTGCCGATGCTCAAAATATAAATGATCATACTATTAGTACTAGGGACACTAAGAAGACGAATGCGAATAACACGATCACCAATCATACTACTACTAGTACTAACACTAAGAACCGTATCCCGAATCATACGAATACGGACAACACTACTAAAACTGTTCCTATGTTTCCAGCTTGTACTCATTCACATAACATTACTGATATTAGTACTGATGCTACGAATATTCATACTCCTACTCGTAGTGATAAAACTAGACATACAAGTAACACTACTAATCATGATACTCATACACATCATTTTAATCATATCATTAATCATCATCATACGAAGAGGAGGAGAAGGGGGAGGAGGAGGAGGAGGAGGAGGAGGAGGAGGAGGAGGAGGAGGAGGAGGAGGGGAGGAGGAGGAGGAGGAGGAGGAGTCGCCACATGCGGGGACCCCCACGCGCCCAGGGAGGGAGCCCGCGGCGGCGGTTTAACGCAGCGCCCGCCTGCGCCATGACCACTGGCGCTGCCTAGCGTCCCATGGGGCTGGGCGCCCTAGACACAGAGACCCATGGAGACCAGGAAGAGCTACGCCGGCTTCCCGACACACAGGCGGCCCGCAACCGACGGCCACCGAGGCGGCTGCGGCGGGGCGCGCGCGAGGCCGTCGAGCTTGGCGCCACCGCGGCCCGCCGCGCCGGGCGGCTCTGGCGCCTGGCGACGCTGGCTGCTGGGCTCAGGAGGGCCCGCGCCAGCACACACGACAGCGCCGATGCCAGCACCAACACAGACCAGATCACCCAGACCCAGACCCAGTATACAATCATCGAGATAGGTGCCCACGCCAGCCCCTTCCACGCACCAGCGTGAAAACGAGCAACACCACCACGAATGCGACCAGCAGCTCCGCGACCAGGACCGCGACCCAAGCAGACAGCTGCATCACAGGCAGCAGGGTTCCACCTTCATTCGGAGTCTGAGCGCTATCAGCCGCGTCACGTTTAAGAGCACGTTGGCACCCAGATGTGCCATTATTACGACCAGGACTCCGCCGACACCAACGCCGACGCCTACGCCAGCACAAACGCCGACGCCTGCGTCGGCACCCAGAGCAAGTACGATCAGGCCAAGGATGAGGATGCCAAGGAGGCCGTGGAGGAAGCCGACGTCGAGGAGGCGTCGGGGGATCCCCTGGACCACCTGCGGGTGGAGGGGGACCTGGAGGCGGACCTGGGGACCTGGCCCTGGCGGAGGCGGTGGAGGCCCAGGAACTGGCCCAGGATGAGGCCACGGACCTGGAGGAGGCGGCCCCGCCGAGGAGGGGAGGAAGTGGAGGAGCAGCATCGCAGACCAGCGCCTTTCGGAAGGAGACAGTCCCCTTAGTGCCCGCCGTGCGTCTCGTGCCAGCACCGACGCCGAACGCCCAGACCCACGCCTAGCCCCACGCCCAGCCCCACGCCCCCCAACTACGCCCAGGCCAGCCCGGCGGGGCCGCCACCGGCGCCAGGGGTCGCCTTGCCGCGTCTGCTGAGGCCGTGCGAGCCGCCACAGCGTGCGGCCACCCCCAGTGCAACCAGCGGGACCAGCAGCACCACCACGACAACGACCAGCAGTGTCGCCCAAAGGACCCCGGGGAGGTGAGGGACCCAGAGCACAAGCATGAGGATCCAGAACACCAGAAGGGAGACCTGAAGAGTCACTCCACTGACGACGACACGCCACGTACACCCAGACGAGCCCGTCCGCGGCGGGCCAGGCCTTCCCCAAAGGGGTCGACGACCTCCCCATCCTCCTCCTCAACTCCACACTCCCCCCAACGACGACGCGGCCCTCCCCAACGCCCCTCCCGTCGCCTCATTCGGCGCCCCCGATGCCCCTCCCAATAACCCGCCATACGCCTTAGATCGCGGAGCAGTCCACAGCGCGCGAAATTCTTGTGGGGGACGCTTGCAAGGACGCTTGAAAGGATGTCTGGGAAGCTTGCAAGCTTGAGAAAGGAGCTTCGAAGGAGCTTCCAAGGAGCTTCGACGGAGCTGCGGAAAGGTCTCCGGCACGCGTATTGGGAACGAGTAGGAAAGCGCTTGCCGGAACGCGCTGCCAGCTCACAGGAACCGCTGCGGGAATACCTGCCCGGGAGCCTTGGAGAGGAGCTGGCGTAGCCTTGCCTGCCGGTTTCTCCTCGAACAGCCCTCTCAGCTCTCTCACAAGGGGGAATCATTTGCCCCCCCCCCACAGGACTCGGCAGGTGGCCATCGCGGTCGAACGCGCGAGATGGCGCGCGTCCATCCAGGTGCGCCCCGCCCACCCCGACGCACCCAACTGAGCGGCCTACTCCCCCCGCGGCCCCGGCAGTTTCCGCAGCCTCGGCCTGCGGCGGCCACCCTGGCCTGGCCCGCCCGAAGGCCACGCGGCGCTCGTGCAGCGAGCAGAGGAGCTGCGGAGAGATGCCGACCGCGAGGCGGCATGTCTGGAGAGAACCGCACTAGCAGTGGGCGACGAGTACGAGGCGGCCATGGAGGCCGAGCTCGGCGTGCGCTCGCAGTCGCCTGCGCCCCCCCTGGCCCCGCCACCGCCAGACGGGGGCCGCTCGAAGGCGCCCGCAGCCGCGCGCCACGGCGCAGCGCCCGCGGCTTCGTCCGACGGCAGCGCGTCGCCCGCAAGCGGCGGCTCAGCATCGACTGCAGCGCTGGGGCCCGAGGCGCCGCCCGTCCTGTGCCAGGCGTTCAAGGCGCCGCCGCCCCGCCGGCGCGGGGCGCGGGCCAATACGCCGCCATCCGAGGCGCGTTTCGACCATGTGGCGTGCTCCATCCTGGTCGATATGCACGGGCCAGGGGCGCCGCCGTCCGCCCCCTGCAGGTCGCCACCGAACAATTTGCCCAAACCGCCGCCCGAACTGCCCATGGCGCTGATGATCGAGGGGGTCAACAGAGACTGGCACCCAAGATCGTTCGAGTGCTACAACAGACCGTTCACCACGCCGTACGTACACCCTACACACAGGAGGATTGGGATGTGTGGGATGGGGAGGTGGGGGTGGGTGGGTGGGCGGTTGGGTGGGTTGGTGGGCGGGGCGATTGGGGCGGCAGGGGGCCTCGGCGGAGGAGGCGCGGCTGCTATGTGAGGATGCCTGCAGCCTGCGCAGCTGCGGGAATTCTCGACATGACACAGCAGGCTCGCAAGTGGCAGCGGGGCCTCCAGCCAAGCTGCAGTCCAGCCAAGTGACAGCGTCAGTGGCCCAGGCTCGGGGTCATTGGTGAGCCGCCGCATGCTATCGCACTGCCTGTGCGGCCAGCTGAGACCACTTAAAGCGTATCGCGTGCTTTGGCGCAGACCTTGCGCCTGCAGCGGTTCTCGAAAAGCTCGAATCTCGCGAGGAACGTGGCGGCCCATTCGCCTGTTCTTCGGTGCGCCACACGTGGGCGAAGGCCATGGCCGGGGGGCCATCATGACAGGGGGTCCATATGCTGCTGGCGTGGGTCGCTGGACCACTTGCGTAGCGTGTGTAACGGAACATTTTTTCGCTCTTCATCCGCCATCTATCTGGTCATCACCATTCGTCATCACCTCTGTCACATTCACTATCGCCCATCTCATCACCGTTATCGTCATTGTTGTTTGCTGTATCTCCGCGTGCATGCACTGTTTGGGGGGCTCTTGCCTGCGCGCGTGCAGGTGTGCGGGCGCGCGCACGTGCATGCGTGCAGGCGTGGATATGGCACGACGAAAAATATGGCTTTGCACATTTGAAAGAGCGTGTTCTACCGCTGTTGGCGGAAAACCGGGGGGGGGGTCACTACCAGTTCGAACCCCCCCCCTCGAAAACCGGGGGGGGGTCACTACTGGTTCGAACCCCTCCCCCCCCTCCCAGTCCATCATGAAAAAGGAAGGAGGCGTCACTACCGGTTTGATTCCCCCCCTTCCTTCCGGAAAACCGGGGGGGGTCACCATCGGTTCGAACACCCCCCCCCGGTCGCCGCCGGCAAACGATCCCCGCCCCTCGGGACAGTTGGACAATGGTGGGGATGTTGGGACAGCTGGACAATGGTGGGAACGGTGGTGGTGGGGACGATGGTGCGGGGACAGTGCGACCGTGGTGCGGACAGTGGTGGGGACGGTGGTGGTGGGGACAGTGGCGAGGGGACAGCGGGACAGTGGTGGAGACAGTGGGACAGTGGTGGGGACGGTAGTGGCGGGGACACTGGTGAAGGCGGTGGTGCGGATTGTGGTGGGACAGTAGTACAGTGGGGAAAGTGGTGGGGACAGTGGGGACAGTGGGAGAGTGATGGGAACAGTGGGGACGGGGGGACAGCACAGAGGGACAGTGGCGGGGACAGTGGGACAGTGGTGGGTACAGTGGGGACAGTGGGACAGTGGTGGGGACCGTGGTGAAAGTGGGGAGAGTGGTGGGGGTGTGGGGGGGGGGGTGGTTCGAACCGGTAGTGGCCCCCCCCGGTTTTCCGGAGGGGGTGGGTTCGAACCGGCAGTGACCCCCCGCGCGGTTTTCCGGAGGGGGGGGGGTTCGAACAGGTGACCCCCCCTCGGATTTTTTTTGGGGGGGCTCGAACCGGTAGTGACCCCCCTCGGTTTTCCGGAGGGGGGGGGCGGTTCGAACCGGTAGTGACCCCCCCCAGTTTTCCGGTGAGGGTGGGGGGAGATTTTGCCGGGAGGGAGGGGGGGCGGGGGGGAGGTGGGTTCGGCGGAGGGGGGGGATTTTTGGAAGGGGGGGGGGGCGACCCCCGTGTTCCAGAGGAAGAGTGGGGAACTTTTCCATAGTAAAGCGGCGGCGGATCACGCTCTCTCGCACATTTGAATCGTGATCGATCGCAACGGAATGTTTGACCAGGCCGAGGGTAGTGTCAGGGGACGAAGGTTTGGCAATGTTCTCAATGTCGGCGGCGTGGTTCTTCCGAGGGAAGGTTTTCCCGAGCTCGGTGCTGGTGGTCGACACTCGGGCTTCTGAGCGGCCGACATATTACCACCGACGCCGAAATCGAGGACTATCTTTCCTCGATGGAGACAACTCCTTGTATTGGTGTTGGTGCCCACTTCTAGGCTTCGAACAGCGATTCACCCAACGTCCAGGCCAGCAACTCGCGAGCGATTTTGGTTGGTAGTCTATTTGTGTCCTGCGCACGAATGAAGAAACACCCGTGGGGGAGTGATTTGGGAAAAAGCGTGGGGAAACGACTTTTTCAAAAATGGGTCCTTTGAACATGCCGTCCCAGACACGATTGTAGAGCCATGTGAAGCACGGTTCGCCGACGCCACTTGCCCCCCACCAGGTTCTTGGCGTGTTGTGCGTGCACAGGGAAGGGAGGTTTATATCGTGATGGTGGGTCTTGCCGCCCGTGAGGCCCCATGCCCCCGTTCGCACCATCCGCCCAAACGCCGCACTCACTCTTGTTTCAAGGTTGCGACCGCATCTGGGATGGAGGCCGGCGCGTCTTCAACATGTGGTTCCCATTGGAGCTTTTCTCACATCGTGGGCCCCGGGCGCCCAAGACGGGCAGTCGTTGCGCGGGTGGAGTCCAACACGTGCAGTCGTCCAACACCGCAGCGCTGCAAGACTTGCGCGGATGGAGGGCAGATCCTTTCCAAATGCGGCATTCGTTCGGTAGCTGTTTCAGTTCCACCCTGCTAAATTAATGCCTTGTCGACGAAACGGCCGAGGATGGATCTTTTACGCCGTAGGGTCCCGCCTGAGTGGCAGGCTCGCCAGGTTTTCGTCATTCAGACAGGACGATTCCCGTAACAGGAAAGAGTGCTAGCAGGGACTCTTGTATGGACATGGGGCGGGGCGGGAGGGTGTGTCGCAGCACTTCTATGCATCCAGGGTTTACTCTGGCCCTCCTTCCCTTCCCCATCTTTGCTTTCCTCTTCCCCTTCCTAGGGCTGTTGGAAGAAAGAGGTGCCAGCACCACCACTCCCTGGGCCTCTCCAATGGGGGCGCTCTGACCAGAATTTTCGAGGCGAGGGGTGGCGACGAGGGCCTCCCAGGAGGCCCCAAAAGTGACAAGAGGGAAGGGTGACGGATGGGCGCCTCTGCCTCCTCCGACTCATCCTGTTCCCCTTCCTCCCCTTCCTTCCCCTTCCTTCCCCTCCCCTTCCTTCCCCTCCCTTCCTCCCCTTCCTTCCCCTCCCCTTCCCCAACCCTCCCCTCCCCTTCACCCTCCCCTTCCTTCCTCATTCTGCTCCCCTTCCTCCCCGGCTGGTGCCGCCCTCCCGCTCAAGAGCTGGAGGAGCTCGAAATTCCCCCGGAGAGTCCTCTCTCCTCCGGCGCCGCCCCGCTCGGACGGGGCTTCAGGACGAGGACAGATCCGTGCCGGAGCGTTCCGGAGCGCTCTCAGAGCGGCCCGGCACGCTCCGAGAAGGCCGCGGCGCCCGACACGTCCTCCGGAGCCGCCGGATCTCAGAGGTTCCCGATGTATCCTCACCCGAGCTCATCCTCGTCTTGGCTTCGTCTTACCCGCAGGCTGCGGCGTGCAGGCCCCGAAGCAGCTGGAGGCGCTGATGGTGCTGACCATCCCCATCCACCACCGCGCCTTCCCCGCCTGGGACGACCTGAAGTCTTACGGACTTCTCGCCACGAGCGAGGCGGGTGTGGAAAGAGTTGGTACGAAGACTGGCATCAGTTTCTGTTCGTTTCGGACAGGGCGCGCTGTCGGCGTCGCCGCGGGCGTGGTCCATTTGGGACAGAATGCCGCCCGACAAGCAGCGGCCGCTGGTGGTTTTGGACAACATTTATTGTTTGGCATCGTTCTCTCATTTTTTCTGTACCTCTGTCAGGCGTCCCAAACGGATTTCGCTACCGCGAGCGAAGTAACGTTTCCCTCCCCACTCCCTTTCCTGCCCCCCCTCTCCTCCACCTCCTCGCCACCATACCACCACAGCGCCTCTCCGGCCGGGGACGCCCTGAAGCTCTACGGACCGTCGCCGCGAGGGAAGAAACGAGCAGCGTTTTTCTTCCCTCCCCCTCCCCCTCCCCCTCCTTCTCCCCCGCGCCGCCCCCTCCTATCTCCAACCACCACCGCGCCTTCTTGGCCTTGGGCGGCATGCAGTCGTTTGAGCCTTCGCCACGAGGGAAGAGCCGAAGTAGCGTTCCTCCCTCTCCCCGCCCTCCTCCCGCGCCCCCGCCTGCGAGGGAAGAACCGAGTAGCGTCCTTCTTCCCTCCCCCTCCCCCTCAGGAGGAAAGGAAACACACAGACACAATTCATCGTCCATTCCCCAGAAAATATGGGAAAATATGGGAAGTGGGGGGGAAACAGAAACCTAGAAAATATAGGAAAATATGGGGAATCCTTGTAATTGTGTTTTTATTTGTGTGTCCCAGGGCCCCTTCATCCCCCTCCCCCTCCCCCGCGCCGCCCCCTCCTATCCCCATCCACCACCCCCCTTTCCCAGACTGGGACGACATGGAGTCCGTTGAATCGTCGCCTCGAGGGACAAAAACTGAGCAGCGTTCCTCCCCCCCCCCTTCTTCCCCTCGCCGCTTCTTCCTGTCCCCATCTGCCTCCGCGCCTTCCTGGCCTGGGGGGGCCTAAAGTCCTATGAACCTTCGCCACCTCCCCTGATCTCCTCGCGCAGTGAGACAACGACAGTTTTGTCTTGCCTTTTCAGGTTTCCGGGTATCCTTGGGCCCGGGGCCCGTGAAGCGACGACCGAAGGTGAAATGCCGGTCTCCTGGAAGGGGTCCAGATGTCCAGACCCCTGGGGGGACGCGTTATGAAGCATTTACGACGTCGGATGTCTGAGTCCTTCCCCTTCGTCCTCCTCCTATCCTCGTGCCATGGAGCACCGCACCTTTGCGGTCTTGGACGGCCTGAAACCTTTCTGACCTCGCCACCTCCCTCAAGACAGAGAGCTACATCAGCATAGACTGCGCGGTTCTTTGGGTCGGCGCTGGGTTACCCTCCCCCTCCTCCTATTCTCACCCACACACCACTCCTTCCTGGCCTGGGACGACCAGAGGTTCTACGAACCTTCGCCAAAAGTCTAACAATACATAAAACCACATCAACCATTTCGGAGCCCCAAGCGGACTTCTTGGGTCGGCGCTGAAAACCCGCGCACCAGAGAGGGAGGTCCATCGCAGACCTAAGACATCCGGGCAGAGCTTGGAAAGTTAATTCCCCATATCCTAAGATGGGGTTCTTGTTATTACTTGGACGCCTCCTACTCACTCTCCCTCCTCCTCTTTCCTCCTCCCCTCCTGTCGGAGTTACTCATACTCAGACTTGCTCATACCCAGACTTGCTCATACACAGACTTACTCATACTCAGATACTCTCATACTCAGATCTACTCATACTCAGACCTACTCTTACTCAGACATACTCATACTCAGACTTACTCATACTCAGACATACTCATACTCAGGCATATTCATACTCAGACCTACTCATACTCAGACTTACTCATACTCAGACTTACTCATACTCAGACATTCTCATACCCAGACGTACTCATACTCAGACTTACTCACACTCAGACATATCCATACTCAGACTTACTCATACTCAGACTTACTCATACCCAGGCGTACTCATACTCAGACTTACTCATAGTCTGAGACTTACTCAACACACAGCAGATTGTGAGGATGTCTCAGGCGGGGCGCTGGTTTCAGCACCCCTAAGGGGAGCCGCCAGGGGTGGTTGCACGGGCTCGTTCGCGGCCATTTTGTGGGGATGTCTCAGGCGGTTTGCTTGTTTCTGGGCCCAACATCCTTCGCTTGGAGAGCAGATTGTGAGGATGTCTCAGGCGGGGCGCTGGTTTCAGCACCCCTAAGGGGAGCCGCCAGGGGTGGTTGCACGGGCTCGTTCGCGGCCATTTTGTGGGGATGTCTCAGGCGGTTTGCTTGTTTCTGGGCCCAACATCCTTCGCTTGGAGAGCAGATTGTGAGGATGTCTCAGGCGGGGCGCTGGTTTCAGCACCCCTAAGGGGAGCCGCCAGGGGTGGTTGCACGGGCTCGTTCGCGGCCATTTTGTGGGGATGTCTCAGGCGGTTTGCTTGTTTCTGGGCCCAACATCCTTCGCTTGGAGAGCAGATTGGAGGATGTCTCAGGCGGGGCGCTGGTTTCAGCACCCCTAAGGGGAGCCGCCAGGGGTGTTTGCACGGGCTCGTTCGCGGCCATTTTGTGGGGATGTCTCAGGCGGTTTGCTTGTTTCTGGGCTCAACATCCTTCGCTTGGAGAGCAGATTGTGAGGATGTCTCAGGCGGGGCGCTGGTTTCAGCACCCCTAAGGGGAGCCGCCAGGGGTGTTTGCACGGGCTCGTTCGCGGCCATTTTGTGGGGATGTCTCAGGCGGTTTGCTTGTTTCTGGCCCAACATCCTTCGCTTTCGGAGCAGATTTGGAGGATGTCTCGAGCGGGGCGCTCATTTCAGCACCCCTAAGGGGAGCCGCCAGGGGTGGTTGCACGGGCTCGTTCGCGGCCATTTTGTGGGGATGTCTCAGGCGGTTTGCTTGTTTCTGGGCTCAACATCCTTCGCTTGGAGAGCAGATTGTGAGGATGTCTCAGGCGGGGCGCTGGTTTCAGCACCCCTAAGGGGAGCCGCCAGGGGTGGTTGCACGGGCTCGTTCGCGGCCATTTTGTGGGGATGTCTCAGGCGGTTTGCTTGTTTCCGGGCTCAACATCCTTCGCTTGGAGAGCAGATTGTGAGGATGTCTCAGGCGGGGCGCTGGTTTCAGCACCCCTAAGGGGAGCCGCCAGGGGTGGTTGCACGGGCTCGTTCGCGGCCATTTTGTGGGGATGTCTCAGGCGGTTTGCCTGTTTCCGGGCTCAACATCCTTCGCTTTCGGAGCAGATTGGAGGATGTCTCAGCGGGCGCTCATTTCAGCACCCCTAAGGGGAGCCGCCAGGGGTGGTTGCACGGGCTCGTTCGCGGCCATTTTGTGGGGATGTCTCAGGCGGTTTGCTTGTTTCTCGTGGCACTATCCTCCAACATGACATGCACTTATGGCCTTGTGTGGCTAAACGCTCGTCTTACATATCCCACTGCCAACTATCCTACAACATATGCACATGTGGGAAGCTCCAAAGCTACCACGGGCTGTAAAGGGGAAGGCCTGGCAGCTGAGGAGGGGGGATGAAGAGGAAGAGGCTCGCATTCAACCATATTCAAAGCTCACTCTGACTCATACGCAATCACTCGCATTAGGGGTCACTCGTCTCCGTCGGCCCTGTCGCCCACGTGGACGCGCTATTGTAGTCGACCGCTCATGAACAGACGCTCACCAGGGCATGACACAAAACATGATATGCACATATGGGGAGCTCCACGCAGTGAGTAATGCTTATGTTTTATTTCTTGCTGTAGTGAGGGAAGAACTGGAGCGCGCTCCTCTTCCCCTTCTCTCATTCCCCAGGGATGGACTGCGTACAGATCCCGCGTTCTCTCCCCCCGCTGCCCCTCCTCCCCCTGGCCCTCCTCCACCTCCTCCTCCTTCTCCCCCTCTCGTTCACACCAACCACCGCGCCTTCCGGCCTGGGACGACCTGATGTCCTGCGGAGCCACGAGGGAAGGATCAAACAAGGGTCTTCCTCCTTCCCTTGGGGCCCCCCTCCCCCTTCTGTCCCCTCCTCGCCCCTCCCTCTCCTCCCATCCCAGTCCGCCATCTCGCCCTTGCAGCCTCGCACGACCTGATCTCCTACTGACCGTCGCCACGAGGGCAGACTTTCGTACCGTGCTCCCTCGCCCTCCCTCTCGCCGCCCCCTCCTGCCCTCTTTTCCTCCCTCCTCCTCCTCCTCCTCCTCCTCCTCTGCCCCCTCCTCCCCTTTCTACCCTTCCTCGTCGTCCTCTTCCTCCTCCTCGTCCTCCTCCTCGTCCTCCTCCTCCTCCTCCTCCTCCTCCTCCTCCTCCTATCCACATCTGCTGTCGCGCCTGCGGGCCTAGGAGGGCCTGGTCCCACAGACCTGCCCCGCGAGGGGCGAGCTGGGCCACCCCTCCTCGTCCCCCGCTCTGGCCTCCGCGCCGCACGGCCCGGACGCAGCTCGAAGCACTGGCCCGGAGGGAGCGCCTACCCTCAGATCTGGGCGCCGCGTAATGGGGGGGTCATAAATGGGGGGGTGTCGCGGGTGGTCCGAAAAGGTACCCAAACGGTACCTAAACGAGCCCCCTGGGGCTCCGGAGGGGCCCGACAGGGGCACGAAAGGGGACCTTTTCCGACCCCCCCATTTGTGACCCCCCCATTAAGCCACGCCCACAGATCCAGGCGTCGCCCCAACACACTTTTAGCTGTTTCCCCTTGTCGGCCTCTGGAGGCCGCTTGTTCAGGGCCTGGCACCACCGAGCACGGGCCCAGGACGAAGTGCCGGCCGGCCCCAGGGAGGGGGACCAGGCCTCCAGTGGTCCACGCTGGGGGTCGCCCGTTAAGGCGAATTCGCGCCCTGCGTTTCGCTGTCTGGGCCGTGGAGGCGCCCTGCTCCAGAGGCGCCTCGCGAGAGAGCGCGGGGCGAGATCGCGTACAGCAGTGACTCCCCAGGAAGGGGTCGAGTCCTCTGGTCGGGACGGTGGTACGGAAGGGATGGGTACAGACCGACAGCAGATCCTGCTCAGTTTGAACGGGACTCGCTGTCCGCACCGCCACGGACGTTGCCTATGGGGGGCAAAGCCGCCTGCCCCACAGCGGCCTCTCTCGGTTTTGGACAACATTCGTTGTTGGGCATCGTGCTCAGTTCTCCTGTACCCATTTCGGGATCTGGGGAGTCACGGTGCGAAACTATCCTGACGTCGCATGTCCTTGGGCTTCCGTGCTGCCAGGTGCCGGGTTGGCACGCACCCAGCCTCACGGAGGCCTCGGGGTGGCGCGCGAATCGCCACTGCACGGCCACTGGGATGTGCCCGCGTCTAGTGGGCGTCACCCCAACATATTAGTACTGTGTGTGCGTTGCCCCCCTTTGGGCGACGCGCGTACCGAGAAATCTTACAGTAGATGCGTCGTGGCGGGCGCTTTCTGGCCACACTAGTCGCGAAACGATATACTACAATATGGGTGTGGTATATGAGGGGACCGCATGCGAACCCTACCTGTACCCCACACGATTTCTGAGGGGGAGGGTGGGGTTCACTTCGCTTGGGAGCTCCCGAACGAAGTGAACCCCACCTACCCCTCAGAAATCGTGGGGGGTAGGGGAAGGGTTCGCATGTGGCCCCCTATGTATGCTCGGGTCGGACGCGCGCCTCCAAGGAGGACATATAGTGCTAGCGTGTCTCTGTGCGTCCCATCCCGGGCGCCTCTTCTCAGGGATCCCTGCCCTTCGTGGCCAGCGGAGGGACGCCGACAGTACACCACCACCAGCCCTGGCCTGGTCCACCCTCGGCCCTGGCCTGGTGTATAGACCTCCAGGCCTAGGCCAGGAGGGCCTGTACACCAGTCCAAGGCCCAGGATGGGCCTGGCCGGGGTTCCTCCTCCTCCCTCCTTCTCCTCCCCTCTCCTCCTTCTCCTCCTCCTCCTCCTCCTCCTCCTCCTCCTCCTCCTCCTCCTCCTCCCCCTCCTCCTCCTCCTCCCCCTCCTCCTCCTGGTGGTGGTGGTGTATTGTTTGTGTTTGGGGCTCTCCTGGCCAGGATTCCCGATCGTGGTGGTCAGCGACTGGCAGGAGGTCACGGCGAAGTCCACCGCCCGCTGGTGGGAGGAGCTCTCGCCCCGCCTCGTGAGCTTCCGGAAGAACTGCCTCACGACGGAGGGCTATTGGAAGCTGTTCACTGGGCAGGTACTCCAGCGCGGCGCCTCCTCCCTTCTTCCTCCTCCTCCCTCCTCCCTCCTTCCTCCTCCCTCCTCTCCTCCTCCTCCTCCTCGCTCCTCCTCCTCCTCCTCCTCCTCCTCCTCCTCCTCCTCCTCCTCCTCTCCTCCTCCTCCTCCCTCCTCCCTCCACCCTCCTCCCTCCTCCTCCTCCTCCCTCCTCCCTCCTCCTCTCCTCCCTCCTCCTCTTCTCTCCCACTCCTCTCCTCATTCTCCTCCTCGTCTTCCTCTTCTTCTCCTCCTCTTCCTCCTTCTCCTCCTCCTCCTCCTCCTCCTCCTCCTCCTCCTCCTCCTCCCTCGAAGAAGAACAACACTCCATACGCATAACCTTTTGGCGCTCCGCGCGGATTTCTTGTATCTGCGCATGGGCCCCCCTGGCGGCGCCCGCGGCGCCGCCCCTGGCGCGCTCCGCGCGCCACCGGGGGTGGGCCAGCGCAGATCCAAGAAATACGCGCGGAGCGCCAACAGCTGATGTTTATGTCGTTTGTTCTTCTACTCCGGGGGGCGGTCCATTTCGATCCCACTGACCCGATTCCAGAGGGCTCGAGCCGGTCCCGCTCTTCCGATGCGTCGACGCGGCGGCCCCATGCTTTCGGCCCCACGCGAGCGCGACCCTCCGCCGGAGTGGGCCTTCGGTGTGGGCCCCTTAGCGGGCCCCCCGATGGCTGCCCGCGAGGATCGGCAGCAGCGGCCTGTGCGCCCAGGCGGGGCCACCCCGGCGGGGGGGCCAAAAACCTGGGCGCGTGGCTCGCGTCCGGGTCAGGGGCTCCTCCTCCTCCTCCTCCTCCTCCTCCTCCTCCTCCTCCTCTTCCTCCGCCTCCTCCTCCTCCTCCTCCTCCTCCTCCTCAAGGCCACGGCGCTCCTCCGCGTCGCGCGGGCGCCGCCCATCGTCGCCGCGCCGCACGTGCGCAGATGAGCTGCACCTGTGCTCTGGCATTCGCCTCGTGACCCCACCTGCCGTGCAGTCAATCCGCATGGTAAGGATGGGCAACCTTCCCAAGGGCACCCTTGCATCCGTGCCTCCTCGGTGCATCCTTCGCCGTTTTTTCTCTGGCCGCGCCCCGCTCGAGAAGCTTTGAAATGGGCGTCCAAGGCCCTCGCATCCTTATCGCGCATCCTCACTATACTGGGTAACAGACGACCGCTGGCATTCGACGCCCCGCGTCCCCCGTTCTGGCCGCGCACCGGAGGGCACCCTCTCTTGCCCGGGGCCGCTCCTGCGCGTAGCCGACGTCTGCGCGGCGCTGTCGCCTGGCGCGGCCCCGCCTCTGCGCTTCCGGCTTTCCCTGCCGGCGCAACCCAAGCCGGTGCACGGTCCGGTTCGATCCGTCGGGGCTCGGTTTGGGTGCAGGATTCTGCAGGATCTTGCAGAATCCTTCGCATCGACCCGGGTTTGGGTGCAGGATCTCGCAGGATTTTGCAGGATTCTGCAAGGCCCGATTGACCCGGGTCTGGATTGACCCAGGTCAGCAGATCCCCGAATCCGCTTTTCCGATTCGATGCTAGCTTTAAGTCGGGCCTGTCGCTCTACAGGATGACTATTCAGAAACAATCCAAAGCTAGTCTGGGGACGATGTGTCGACATTTTGTGTTGGCTTTCCGTAGAGACTACGCCCGCTACCGCCGACCCCCTTTTCCATCAGAATGGGGTGTGCCAGAGCTATGTTGTATTTTCTCGGCGTCGTCGCGAAACAATGTCGGAACCTCATGCTGGGGCAACTGGTAAGTGGCATATCATATTTACGAGGTTGTATAGCCTCGGCGACCCGTATATTATGTAATTTACATGGGTTTCTGGTCTCGGGGGCGCGAGTATTGCATAATTTACATGGGATTATGGCTTCGGGGACGCGACTATCGTATAATTTACAAGGGATTATGGCTTCGGGGACGCGAGTATTGTGTACTTTACAAGGGTTTATGCATCGGGGACGCGAATAAGGTGTAATTCACTATGAATTATAGCTTCGGGGACGCGAGCATCAAGTATTTTTACGTGTCCCACGCCCCCCCAGGAATTCTGTAAAAAAATCCCGTTTGGGGCTTTCACCCCTCGCGCGGACAGCAACACTTAACAGTAAGGACGCAGAAAACAGGACTGTAACAGTGGAAACTGCAAGCTGCAACTGGAACATGGAGCTGCAATCTTCACCCTCGCAGCCTGGTGGCCCCGCAAGGGGGCCAGCGGATTTTTTGATTTTTTTGTCCGCTTAAAATCCGCCTGTGGGGGGACATGCCCGACCTGATGCTAGCTGATTCTGGCCTCGCACCCCTCCTCCCTCCTCACCTCTCTCGGGGATTGCCAGAGGCGACCCTGGCCCGAGGTGTCTCGCGCTGTGCTCGGAAGGTCTCGAGGACCGCCCCTCGGCGCAGGCAGCATGTGCAGTAGGTGCTCGACCACCAGGAACCTTCCACAAGAAACCCAACCCTGAGACCCTATGACATCCATTGATTTTTGGTGTGGGAACGTCACGCCTTCCACAGCGACGACCATCGAAACCCAAGAAACCCAGGGCACCGTGGAGGCAAGCAGGGTATGTCTTGGCATTGGTTTTCATTCTATATCCTTCAGCAGTACTCTGGTGTCGCCGCCATTGTGCGTGGCGGGGGTCTACCTGCGCAAACCATACAATAACCTTCAGCATTATCTTGCACCCGACGGAGGGACTGCTCGTAAGGGCCCGGGAGCCGCACCCGCCGCCGCACCCGCAGGATCCTCGGTTTGTTCCGCCTCACGACAGAAGGGATGATACCATATCTGGCGGACTGCAGGTGGGCTGGCTCCGGTGCGCTCCCGCCGCTCGATTGTGCGGACCTCCCTCGGCTTGCGCGGAGGGGCAGAACGCCGAGACCCGAGTGCCGCTGTCTGGGTGCAGGGTTACCTCCTGCGCTGCACAATACGCGCGGGCACCCGCTCGCAACAACGAGCCCAAGTCTTGCATCCAGCTTCCACGAGAGCCGCGCTGGTATGGCATACCAGGGTTAACCACCTGCAGTGGAAGGCGCCAGGCAGGCTGCCACACGAGCCGTGTATGGCCTCCCTGCCCGGGCACCCGAGTCTCGGCATTTGCCGCTGCCACCTCTCAAGGACGGCACGCTCCACAGATCACCTCTTTGAGGTCGCTGAGCCCCGAGCTGGCCCGAGGTGCCCCCAGCTATGGCGCGTCGCTCTGGATTCCCTGGGGGCCCCCTGGGCCTCCCGACCAGGGGTGCTCCGGAGGCCGTGGTGCCTCCCTGGGAAGTCCGGGGGACGCCTGGGGCTGGGGACACCTCTGGCAACCTCCTGCTCCCTCCTCCTCGCATCCTTCCCCACTCCACCCGCCTCGCTTGCACGGCGGTGTGCGCCAATGTCACTATCCCTCTTCACCAGCACGGTCCGGACAGTAATGGTACGCTTGAGCAACGAATGGGGGGCGGAAAGGGTACGGCACCTTCGTTTGGATTGACCTGTTTGGACGAAATAAACTCTGCACTTGCTCGCCTACTGCACAGCATTGGTTGCGACGTCCAGACAAGCTATGGCGCGAATGCTGGCCGACATCGCCGAGGCCCTGGCGAATTTAGGCCTCCACCCGACTTGAAGCAAATGCAGCGTCCAGTGTGCGAGCAAAAGCGTTCCATCGGGCAAGGTGGTAAAACCATGTCAGCGCCAGCTTTCGCAATGCAGTTGCGCCGACGGCGTCATGCCCTTGGACACTATCGTGACCCTGAACGGGAACAGCCATACTCAGTTCGTTGCCCGCTTGAGAGATGCTTGGACAAAGTTCCATTCACCTCGGGCGCTTCTGAAAAAAATGCCCGTCATCATAGACAACGCTTGTTACTGCTCGAGCCCACAGTATCGAAATCGGCTTTGTAATGTGCAGATTCATGGAGGTTCATAGTCGCGGAGGTGAAGAGAATCTGAGGCCCCCGCAGGGACGGGTGCTGCGAGAAATAGAGTGCCGCGTCGACGCCCGGAGGAGGATCATGCCTCGTGAGGTAGACGCGCGACAGGATTTGTAGATAGGAGAACGCAGGGCGCGTGAGTCCAGGGCTGGGTCAGGGCCCATTTTTTTGCAATGTGGAATTGTGCTGGCATGCTGGCGCACACGGAGACCAATAGGTGGGCAACGATTGCTGCCGAATGGAGAGAGCGCGACAGGTGGATCAATCAGGACAGTTTTCGGAGTACCAGCCATATCGTTCCAGGCCGTTTCATCATTTGTATACGCAGAACCGCCGCGTTAACATGGTGACAATCCTGGAAACCTACTCTGTGCAACGCGCGACATGGCGCGGTGCGATTGAGGAATATGACGGTGTTTGTCGAGGTGGCGCCCGCGCGCTCGCCAGGTTCTCATCCTTCCCGCCCTCCCTGCTTCCGCTGGTTGGGCGTGGTCCCCTGCGCGCGCGGAAACGGAAAGCCTCCTCCTCCTCCTCCTCCTCCTCCTCCTCCTCCTCCTCCTCCTCCTCCTCCTCCCCCTCCCCTCCACAGGGCTCGTTTCGACCCCTCCGATCAGATTCGACTCGCTTTCGATGGCTGCCGATTCCGATTCGATTCCGGATTCCGATTCGGATTTCGATTTCTCAGCGGAGGCCTACCAGCTTGCCGATTCCCGCCGATTCGGCTTCTCCCGACTTGGCTGCCGATCTCCGCTGATCCGATTCATGGCTGGTGCGCGGTGTCAAGGCTCCAGTCCTCCCCTCCTCGTCCTCCACTTCTGCCGCCTCTTCAGCCGCGGCCGCATGTCGCGTTCCCCAACCGCCTTGCGGACGCTGCGCTGCCAGTCAGGAGGAGGGACGCGGCTGCACCCCCAAACCGCCACGGGGGAGGGGATGGGGGACATCGGCCCAGGGAGGGTATATGACCGACCCCCGAACGCCCATTCAAGGTCCATCGGGGCGCTCGCGCCCTCTCACTGCCCGTGATAAGGCGGTTTCACCATCGGGAGGATCGTCGCTGACAAATCGGCGATGACTCGTCGATTCCAGGCCGATGTCTTTTGGGCGAGGCTAGGACGAGGATGCATCCGTTCCAGAGCGTTCCGGAACGCTCTCAGAGCTTTCTGGAACGCTCTGAGGAGGCCGCGGCGCTCGATACGTCCTCCAGAGCCGCCGGATCTCAGAGATTCTCGATTTATCCTCATCCGAGTGTACCCTCGTCCTGGCTTCGTCTTAGTTTCGCCCCCCAGTGGAACCGCCGTGCAGCCATCAGGGAGATTCGTCAGGTTGGCCATGCCTAGGTTGTCGCGTGGATCGCCCTGGGCGCGTCCTCAATTCCGTCTGCAGCCGGGGAGGGTTCCGTTGGCCTTTCGGAGGTCCTTGGTGATCTTGTGGGCAGGACCTCATTCTGGCACATCCACTCCATGTCGTGTGTTCACCTTGCTTCTTGCCAGAAAAGGAGCACTTGCCGCGCGGGCTCTTTGTTTTGCATCTTCACACAATCGTTTCGTATGCTCCGCAATATTGGGTACGTTTCGGGTGTGGATCCAGGGTGGGTGGGTGGGTGGGTGGGTGGGGGTGGCAGCAGCCTAAACTTCCCCTTCATGCCGCTTTCCCTGAGAAGTCCCTCGCCCTGTACTGGCCCGCTTGGGATCCCCACATTAGGGGAGGTGCAGCCCAACTCCTACTAGCTTACGCCACAATCCATACGCGCACGCGCGCGCTGCTATGCCCCGTGGCGCCTGTACATTCTGTGGTGTGTGTTTCTGCCTCCCGTCCTGTCCACCGCAGGCGAGCACTGCCCGGCAGGCTGCCCGAGCGCTCGAGGGCCTTTGTCAGGAGGGGAAAAAACACACAGACACAATTAATCGGCGATTCCCAGAAAATATTGGAAAATATTGGAAATGGTGGGGAAGACAAAAACCCAGAAAATATGGGAAAATATGGTGAATATTTTTATTTGTGTGTATTTATTTGTGTGTCCTGGGGCCCCTTCACTTTGGGGGGCTGCAGCCCCGCGCCCCGCCGGGCCGAGTCCTGCGGCGGTCTGCGCCCGGACCTGCAGCCCACGAGACGCGCAGGCCGGCAAGCATCGGAGGCCTGGAAGTTGGCACCAACACCAAGACAGGGGGTTGCCGCCACAGGGGGAAGGTGATCCTAGATTTTCGGTGTTGGTGGTAATAGTTCGGCCACCTTGAAGCCAGAATATTACCACTATCACCGAGATCGGGATCTTCTTCCCTCGGTGGAGGCGGACCGCCGAAATTGGTGTTGGTGTCAATCTCTGGGCCTGCGAAAGCACCGTGCCCCTCCGCTCCTGAGCCAAGCGCTGCCCCCGCTCGAGCGGCGTGCGGCGCGGCGCACTCCGTTTGACCAGGCCCTGCTTTCGTGTTCGGTCCGTGTGGTGACGCTGTCACAGCGTTTCGCGCTGCCCTGCGCGCTTTCGTCTACTCCAGATTTCGTAATAAAGGGGAGGGGGTCTCAACCCTCCCAGACAAGCCATTTCAGACCCCCCCCCCCCTGGGAGAACCCTCCAAAACATCGTCCCCAGACCCCCCCAGGCCCTCCAAGATGGCCTGGAGGAGACCCCCCCCCCGAAAGGAGACCCCCCTCCCCTTTTATTACGAAGTCTGGAGGTACGACTTCTGCCATCTCGCGACATTGGGCCACGGCCTCACGCGTCTGGCCCCAGAGGGCACGGGCACGTCCTTGCCACGAGGCCTGTGTCTGGCATCGGCGCCGGATCCGCTCCGCTCGGATCCCGCCCCTCCTCCTCCCCAGCTCCTCCACCTCCCAGGCCTCCCTCCCCTCCCTTTCCCTCTCCCTCCCTCCTTCCCTCCCTGTCCTCCGCCTGCCTTCCCCCCTCCTCCCCGCCCCTCCCCCCTCCTCTCCTCTTCCTCCGCCTCCCCGCTCCCCTTCCTGCCCTCCCTTCCCCTCCAACTGGTTTTGGGGGTCATGGATTCTCCCCCGAAAGCTGCCCAACAGTCTCCAGAATCTCGCTGATGACCGCTTCATCCCTAACGATGGGCTTACTCCGAGTTTCTTAATAAGCGTCGTGGGGGCGTCACCCCCGCCGACAGCCCCACATCGACTCCCGTCGCGGGCAGCCACCGCGCGCCGAAGGCGCTCCGACCCCCGTCGCGGCGCGACGACGAGGCGAGGTTGGCCCCCGTCGGGGGGTACCCCCCCATGCTTATTAAGAAACCCAGAGTAGGTTTTCTTTAAGCCTATAGCGAGTTTGGTAATCCTCCTCTCCCGCCGACCCCCCCCCGGTTTAGGTCGGGCCTGTCGCCCTACAGGGGGATTTTGGACGACAAATAAAACATACCCCCAACATAATCAAAAAGTAGTCAAACAATAGTCAGGGGACTATCTTTGAGTATTTTTGTTTTTTTTGGGGTATTTGTTTATTTTTTCGTCGAACATCCCCCTGTAGGGGGACAGGCCCGACTCAACGCCAGGTCGAGTACTGCGAGTGAGCGCGGGCGTGGCAGGCTCTGAGCCCTGCCCCGGCCGATCCTCCGGGGCCTCTCCGCGGCGGGGGCGGAGCCGCAAGAGCCCCTCTGCGGTTGCACCGCAGGGGCTCGAGCGCGGCGGGGCACGACGGGCTCGTCTTCGGAGGGAGGGGAAGGGAGGGATGGAGGAGGAGGGTCGAGAAGGAGGAGGGGGAGGAGGAGGAGGAGAAGGCGGAGGAGGAGGAGGAGGAAGAGGAAGGAGGAGGAGGAGCAGGAGAAGGAGGAGGAGGTGGAGGAGGAGGAGGAAAAGGAGGAGGATGAGGAGGAGAGGAGGAGGAGGAGGAGGAGGAGGAGAGGAGAGGAGGAGGAGGAGGAGGAGGAGGGGGAGGAGGAGGAGGAGGAGGAGGAGGAGGAGGAGGAGGAGGAGGAGGGAGGAGGAGGAGGAGGAGGAAGAGGAGGAGGAAGGCCAGTGGAAGTTCAAGAGTCATCAACGATGTTGGAATAAACCTTCCCTCCAATCTCCCTCTTCACAGGCCCCTACAACGGTGCATCTCCACTGGGGGAACTCATTGGAAGACAAGCGTTTGAAGACCCTGAAACATGCCAACGCATTGTTCTCGTGATTCCAACGCGACGGATCAACCGAACTGTTGCGTCTTGACGATCTTGAATCGTGCCAGAACATCATTCCGGGGGCTTCAACACCGCGAATCAGCGTAATTGTTGCACCCTCACAATCCTGAATCCTTCCAAACACCATTCCTATTTTGTTGATCATGGTAACCAGTGAAACTCTTAACAGCGAATATGAGCGGCGCTAAGACGAGAGCCACACTTTGAAAAGGAACCGCCCTCAATCCGTGAAGCTCCTTGCAACTTGTTGAACTGAATTTGCGCGGCGCTAAGACCAGAGCCACATGTTGAAAAGGAACCGTCTTCAATCCGTGAAGCCCTTGCGAATCATTACAACGAGTGTGCGCGGCGCTAAGGCGAGATCCGCATTTTGAAAACCTCCCGCCCTCCATCCGTGAAGCCCTTGCATTTTTTTTGAAACGAATGTGCGCGGCGCTACGGCAAGAGCCACATGTTGAAAACCTCCCGCCCTCCATCCGTGAAGCTCTTACATTTGTTGAAACGAATGTGCGTGGCGCTGATGCGAGAGCCACATGTTGAAAACGACCCGCCTTCAATCCGTGACACCCTTGCACATTTAAAACAACGAATGTGCTCGGCGCTAAGGCGAGGGCCTCATTTCAGTTGGCGCCTTCCGAAGGAATGCACGGGCAGGGCGCGAATGAGCGAGTTAGTGAGGACGGAAGGGGCCGAGGGAGAGTGAGGAAGAGCCAGGGAGACCGCACGATGCTAACGAGCGTGTCCGTCAGAGCGCCGCGGGTACGATCAACGCGTGCGCTCGACTCAGTCTGAAGGCCAGGGCCGTGGGTCTTTCACTGGCGGGATGGATGAGGAATGGCGCAAATGGATTCGGCCTGCCCTCGAAGTGACTTGGTTTTATCTCTTCGATGACTATGCGCCCCGCCCTCTGGGCCTCCCTTTCCCCGACGCAGCGGTGCACGGTGTGGAAAGTCCGATGCATGTCAGACCTCAGCAGACAAGGCAGCAGTGAACGAGTGAGGGATGGCGGGAAAGAGAGAGAGAGAGAGAGAGAGTGGGTGGGAGAGAGAGAGAGAGAGAGAGATTGAGACAGAGAGGGATTAGAGCGAGAGAGAGATCGTGGGAGAAAGTGGAATCCACCGACTATATACATATTTACATATACATATAGACATGCACTCATAACTGGGTATAGAAAGAGGGGGGAGAAAGGGAGAAACAACAAAGTGGGAGAGAAGGGACATTCTCCGAACAGATACACGCACACACATATTTATATATATATAGAGAGAGATATAGACATGCACCCATGCATACATATACACATTTACATGTAGAGACATAGAGATAGAGAGCGAGGGAGAGAGAGAGAGAGAGAAACCACTACACCGATAAACACGTATTCAGAGAGAGAGAGAGAGCGAGAGAGATAGACATACCTATATGTATGTATGCATGTATATACATATATACATATATATATATATATATATCTATATATATACATATATATTTATATATATACACATTATAAATAAGGGGGGGGAAAGAGAGAGAGAGATAGAGAGAGAGAGAGAGAGAGAGAGAGAGAAAGAAGGAAAGAGAAAGAGATAACAAACCAAAACAATATAGATGGGCGGAGGGAGGGCGGAACGTAACAGTGAGGACAGTAACAGGACCGTGACAGTGAGGCCAGTATCAGGACAGACTTCTTTCTGGGGGGAAGGGAGCCCTAATCTGACCAAACACGGTATGCCCGCCGAGGCTTGGTCAGGGGTTCTTCTTTTGAGGGTTCGACTAAGCAAGCCTTGGCTCCCTCCTCCTCTTTGGTCTGGCAGTGGTTTCCTGTTCCTCCCCTGTCCTGGCCTGAATTGTTGTAAGGGCGATGGCTTTCCCCCGCTGCCATCGGTGACTCTTGCGTCATGCCTAGGCGGTCTTGCCTATCGCCTGGGCGGCGTTCCCGGCTGTAAAAGGAGTCTTTGCAAACAAGTCGTCGGGTCCCAGGGATCGTGATCCCTTCCTCCTCTCCTGTTCACTTCCTCTCAACCCCTGTCCCATCTTCCCCTCCTCCACTCATCCCTCCCTCCCCTCCTTCCATCCTCCCATCCCCACTGTCCTCCCCTCCCCTTCTCCTTCTGCCTCCTTTCTCCCGCCTCCCCGTCCACCCTTCCCTCTCCCCATTCGCCTTCGGCCTTCCCGCTACCCCCCCTTCCTCGCTCCCATCTTCCTGCGCTCCCCCCGCCCCCTTCCCGATCTCCCCCCCCCCCCCCCCTGGGCCCTCTTTCCCCTCTCCCCCTCCCCGCTCTCCCCCGCCCCCCCCCCCAGTCCTCTCCCCCTTTCCTGCTCCTCTCCACCTCCCCCCGCTGCCGCTCGCGCCCCCGCCCCGACACCCCCCCCCTCCCCCCCCACCCGTTCCGTGTGCTCTTGTGTTCGTGCGCCCTGGATGTGTAGACGCAGATGTCACCGCTACTTCCTCCTCGTCCTCTTCTTCTTCTTCTTCTTCTTCTTCTTTTTCTTCTTTTTCTTCTTCTCTTTCTTCTTCTTCTTCTTCTTCTTCTTTTTTTTCCTCTTCTTCTTCTTCTTTGAACGCAGGACCGTTGCGCTCCAGGCCCCGCCCCTCTCGCGTCGGCACCGCCGCGCCTCGCGCACCCCCGGGCGTTGTGCGGCGGCGGCGACGGGGGGCGAATGGCCCAGGGGCAGGCATGGCAGCTCTTCGCCGGGGAGCCTCGCCGACGTCGTGGGCCATCGGCCCGCCTGGATACATGTACTCCAGATTTCGTAATAAAAGGGAGGGGGTCTCAACCCTCCCAGACGAGAAGTTTTAGACCCCCCCTGTGGGAGAACCCTCCAAAACATGGTCCCCAGACCCCCCCAGGCCCTCCAAGATAGCCTGGAAGAGACCCCCCCCGAAATGAGACCCCCCTCCCTTTATTACGAAATCTGGAGTACCCCTCGGTCGTTGAAAGTAGGTATTTCTGGATTCCATAATTCCAATCTGCTTTTCAGGCGCCTTCCTGCTTCCAGGATCGAGTGGCTTCACCCTTTCCCTTCTCCCAAGGGGGCGGGGGGACACCCCATCCACTTTCGACGCCTTCCGATTTCATGTTCCTACCTACTTCTTCCGACCGATGGGTGCATGTGTAGCTCCCGCCTGCGCAATTCTCCCCTGCAGTGAAGGCGCATAGCAAGGATGAGCGACTTCCCAAGGTTACTCCAGATTTCGTAATGAAGGGAGGGGGGTCTCATTTCGGGGGGGTCTCTTCCAGGCTATCTTGGAGGGCCTGGGGGGGTCTGGGGACGATGTTTTGGAGGGTTCTCCCACAGGGGGGGTCTAAAACTTCTCGTCTGGGAGGGTTGAGACCCCCTCCCTTTTATTACGAAATCTGGAGTACCCTTGCACCCCTCCCATCTGGCCCACCCTTGGCCAGTTTCGCAGGCCGCGCCCCGATCTAACGGTGTCGACATGGCATCCCAAGGATCTTGCATCTTTATCGCGCATCCTTCTTCTGCGTTTCGACTGTGTCGTCGCCACCGCCCTTGCCCACTCGCCTGCCTGCCGCCCTCAGCTGTGCCCTCCTGCAGCCCTCCTCCTCGCCGCCGCCCGACGCCGCCCCAGGCCCCGGCCCTCCTCTGGCCGCTGCCTCGCGTTGCGGTGCCCGCCTGGGTGGTGAGGATGAGGATGTAGACGATTCTGGTTATGATGACGATGGTGGTGATGATGATGACGATGACTGTTACGATGATGCTGATGATGCTTATGCTGATTATGATGATGATGATGATGATGATGATGATGATGATGATGATGATGATGATGATGATGATGATGATGATGATGATCATGATGCTGATGACGATGACGACGATGACGATGACGACGATGTTGATGCTACTGATGATGATGATGGTGGTGGTGGTGGTGATGGTGTTGATGGTGGTGGCTGCGGTGGTGATGGTGATGATGGTGGTGGCTGTGATGGTGGTGGTGACGCTGATGGCTGTGATGGTTTTGCTGATGATGATGTTGTTGATGGTGATGATGACGGTGCTCATGACGATGACGACGGCGAGGACGATGACGATGGTGATGATGATGATGATGATGATGATGATGATGATGATGATGATGATGATGTTGATGATGATGATGGTGATGATGATGATGGTGACGGTAATGATGCTGGTGATGATGATGATGATGACGATGACGATGACGATGATGATGACGACGATCATGATGCTGATGATGCTGATGATCTCGATGATGGTGGTGGTAGTGGTGATGGTGCGTGGTGGTGGCTGCGGTGGTGGTTGCGATGCTGATTGTGGTGGTGATGTCTGTGGTCATGATGATGGTGTTGATGGCGGTGATGGTGACGATAATGATGATGGTGGTGGTGATGATGATGATGCTTATGACGATGACGATGACGTTGACGATGGTGACGAGGACGATAATGACGACGACTGCGACGACGATGATGATGATGCTGAGAATGATGATTGTGCTAATGATGATGGTGATACTGATGATGAGGATGATGATGATGATGATGGTAATAATGATGCTGATGGTGCTGATGATGGTGATGCTGGTGATGATGATGATGTTGATGATTGTGATGGTATGGGCGAGGATTGAGATGCTGATGATGATGACGATGCCGATGATGATTATGATGATGACGATGTTGACGATGGTGATGAGAATGATCATGATGATGATGATGATGCTGATGGTCGTGAAGATTCTGATGGGGATGATTTGGATGCGCTTGGCGATGGCGAGGATGACAACGATGACGGTGATGATGATGCTGATGCTGATGCTGCTGATGATGATGATGATGATGATGATCAGGATGAGGATAATGATGATGATGATGATGATGATGATGATGATGATGATGATGATGTTGGAACGGTGGTGTTGATGATTTTGACATTGATGATGTCGATGGTAATGCTGAAGATGATGATGCCGATGCTGACCACGATCACGATGACGACGACGATGATGCTGATGCTGACGGTGATGATGGTTGTGCTGCTGCTGCTGCCGATGCTGATTGTGATGGTGGTGACGACGATAACGATTGTCATGGAAGTATGGATGATGCTGTGTCTGACACTAGTGGTGTATACCGTAGTGAGGCTGCTGCTGATGTTGCTGCTGCTGCCGATGATGGTGATGATGATGATGATGATGATGATGATGATGATGATGATGATGATGATGCTGTTGATGGAATGAATGATGCGGATGAGAATGCTAATACTGATGCTGATGATGCTGATGATGTTAATGAGGATGATACTGACGATGCTGATGCTGATGACGATGATGCTAATTATGCCTATGCTGCTCGTGATCAGGATGCTGGCCATGATGAGGATGATGATGATGGTCATGATGATGATGATGATGATGATGATGATGATGATGATGATGACGATGATTCTGACGGTGGTGACCATATTATCACGATGAGGAGGATTACGATGGCGATGTTGATGTCGATGATGGTGCTTGGCGCTGAGTTTGATGATGATGAGGATGCTTGTGCTGCTGATGATGATGATGATGGTGATGATGATACTGATGATGCTGCTGATGCTGATGCTGATGCTGATGCTGATGATGATGATGATGATGATGATGATGATGATGATGATGATGATGATGATGATAGCAATGATGATGGTGATGCTGATGATGATGATTCTGACGACGATGCTGCTGATGATGAGGCTGCTGATGATGATGCTGGTGATGATGATTTTATGATTTTGACGCGGATGCGGATGCTGATTATGCTGCTGCTGATGAGTATGCCGATGATGATGCGCATGCTGATGCTGAGACTGATAATCTGCTGATGATGCCGATGCTGATGATGCCACTGTTGATGATTATCATGATAATGATGCGGATGTCGATGATGATGATGCTGATGCTGATGCTGCTGCTGATGATCATTCTGCTGATGAGTTTGATGATGGTGCTGATAATGCTGATGCTGATGATGATGACGATGATGCTGGTGATACCGTTGATGACGATGATTATGCTGCCGCTGATAATGATGCTGATGTTGATGAACATGCTTATCATGATGATGACGATGATGTTGCTGCTGCTGATGATGACGATGATGCTGATGCTGATGATGAGGATGATGGCAATGCTGATGTTGATGTTGATGATAATGCTCATGCTGATGACGATGCTCCTTCTGCTGCTCATGATGATACTGATGCTGATGCTGATGCTCATGATGATGAGGGTGATGGCGATGGTGGTTGATGATGATGATGATGCTGCTGCTGATGCTGCTGCTGATGATGATGATGATGCTCATGCTGATGCTGCTGCTGATGATGATGATGCTGATGATGATGCTGCTGATGATGATGGTGATGATGCTGCTGATGATGATGATGGTGATGATGATGATGATGATGATGATGATGATGATGATGATGATGATGATGATGATGATGACGATGACGATGACGATGCTGATGGTGACGATGTTGTTGGTGATGCATGGGGTGTGAGTCTGGTGGAATAGAAATCCTTGCGATGCGCATCTGCACGGGACGAGGCGGAGAAGGAGCAGGAGGAGGAGGAGGAGGAGGAGGAGGAGGAGGA